ACTCTAGCCTGGGCAACAAAGCGAGACTCTGTCTCAAAAAAAAAAAAAAAATAAATTAGAAAAATTAAATTAATTGTAGATTAAAAAAGAGAGAAAAGTGAGGCAATTCCTAAAAATCTAAAACAGACTGAAACAAATGTACCTGACTGTATATATGAAGTTGGAGCAAAATCACATAGAAGAATTTTCTTTCAAGTGATTACAAAACTCAGCATCTTGACTATGGATCCCCAGCCCTCTAAGAACCAATGGAACCATGAATAAATTTAATTTGGGCATTATTATTTGAGCATTATTATAAAGCACTATTTATCATGATAATGCAATAAGTAATTATAGTAATGGTGTTAGAAACCAAGATTTTAGTTTAAGAAAAAGAAGTTAAGCAAAAACTGCTAATGTTTCATTTGAATTGGAAATATCAGCATGAACTTCATGCTGCTGAAAAGGCTCAGAAGCAGTGACAACCCAGTAACAATGAATACCTTTTGTGTCCTGATTGTGGTCTCTAAATAGCACTTCCCACTGAAAGGAACAAGCACTCTTTGGAGAAATTCCAGGTCTGGGGCTTGAGAATGGGGAAATTATAAACTCAGGTCAGGGCATGTCAAAGGATGGATAAAGATGAAAGAATTTCAGCATTAAAATAATAGTGACTGTAAGAGATTAAAACACATAATATATAAGAAGTCCATGAGTTCATAATGATACTAAAAGACAAAATCACTGATCATCACATTTGGACATTGGTGGAGCACCAACTCAAGCTTTTAAAATTAATAAGGTATAGCAGGCTGGGCGTGGTGGCTCATGACTGTAATCCTAGCACTCTGGGAGGCCAAGGCGGGAGGATCGCTTGAGGTCAGGAGTTCAAGACCAGCCTGAGCAAGATGGAGACCCATCTCTACTAAAAATAGAAAGAATTAATTGGCCAACTAAAAATATATAGAAAAAAATTAGCAGGCAGTGGTGGTGCATGCTGTAGTCCCAGCTACTTGGGAGCTGAGGCAAAAGGATTGCTTGAGCCAGGAGTTTGAGGTTGCCGTGAGCTAGGTGACACCATGGCACTCTAGCCCAGGCAACAGAGTGATGATCTATCTCAAAAAAAAAAAAAAAGTATAGCAGATCCTGCTGGTGCCACCACCCATATTCCCCCAGCACTCAGCTTGGCAAGCCAAAGGCTGCTTGCTGCCCGGGACGGTTTCCTGTCTGTGGAGGTATGCCTGGCCTGAGTGCCCATGAGTCCAAAGCTCAGGGAGTTAATGCCCTGGAAACTGTCCCCCACCAGTGACAGATATGGGAGCTGGTCAGCTAAAACCCCACCCTCATCTCTCAGGTGCGACATCTCTGAGGCAATTCTACACTGTCTCCCAGAGCCCCCAGCAGTCTGCCTGCCTGCAGTTGCCCGCAGCCACAGCCTGTTCAATGGCTCACCCTTATTGGATTCCTTCCCTCCCTTGTCTCTCATACCCATCAAGATCTTGCATTTTCAGACCAACCGAGTCACGAGAACACATGGGCACAGCGCAATCCAAAATAATACATTTATGAATCTCGAACTCCTGACCTTGAGCAATCCGCCCGCCTCGGCCTCCCAAGAGCTAGGATTACAGGCGTGAGCCACAGCTCCCGGCCTCTAATTTAATTTTGTAATTTAATTGTATACAATATGTACATGGTTCCAACACCAAAACTATACAACGAAGTGTCATTACCATTTTACAGGCGAAGAAACTGAAGCTCAGAGAGGCTAATAGCTGCCCCAGCATCACAGAGAAGAAGTGTTCTTTCCCCAGCAGGAGGCAGGGAGAGGAGCTGCGGGAGCCTTCTGGTGAGACAGACTTTGTCACAAGAGGTAGATGTGGATGTATTCAGGGTCAAGCCCTCCAGTTCCTTCAGCTGCTCTTTGAGCAACAGGCTGGTGGTCTCCTCTGAACACATGGATTTGCACCTCTCAAAGCAAGGGTCTGACCAGCACAGAGGGACAGTGGTTCCTGCTAATGCAGCAGGGGCTCTCCCATGGTGGCATTCACCCCGTGGGTCCCACTGCTGTCTCTCTACTGCCCCACTTCCCCTCCCATTCCCCACTCCCTGGCGGCTGCAGGAGCTCTCAGAGCCCAGCCACTTCTGGCCCTTCCCTGTCCTGGGCTGGGGTCCCATGCTTCCTAGCCCTTTTCAGAAGTTATCAAAGCCCCCATTCTCTAAGCACAGCTGCGGCCAGCATTCGGCGCCACATCCCGCCCCCCACCCCCCACTTCAGCCTCACTCCCACGTCCCCATGGCATAGGACCCAGGTGCCCGTGTGACGTGCAGGGCCTCAGAGGGGAGCTCAGCTGCCTGGGCCCCCACCTCTGAGGCTGGGAGAGCAGAGACAGGTGTTGGGGGGCTGGAAGGCCAGGCTCTGCCAGCGGCCGCTGTGGATGGGGATCCAGTGGGGAAGGCCCCAGGCTGACACTGGAGATGGGGGGAGCTCGGGATGCAGGAACTTGGATGGGAGATTTCCTCAACTTGGGTCGAGCCTCGGCTTTGGTCTGGATGGGGGCTGCTGGGAGGCGATGGAGGCAGAAGATGGATTGTTCTCATCCAGAGAGGCTGGAAAACTCCCCAGAGCCTGGGAGGCTGGGAGGCAGCCAGCTGGGCTGCACGTGGAAGAGGGAGGCGAGCTCCCTCCTCTCCCGTTTTTCTCTCTCCACCTCCCTCTTTTTCTCTCCCTCAAGAGAGTCAGCTGAAGGGGCCTGGCAAGAACCCCAGCCTGGGAGTCAGGAGACCTGGGGTTTGCTCATGGTTCAGCCATTACAGGCAGTGTGACCCTGGGCTCTCGATTCACCTCTTTCATCTCACTTTCTTTGTCCAGAAGATACCTAGGGTTACCTGAGACATTCTTCTCCTGTTATTGAGACAGGAGGTTCCACTGGAAATCTGACTTTCATTCTTCCTGCTTCCATTGATTCTGTTTGCTTTCAGCCAGGCCCTAAGGGGATCCTCAGATCTGGAGGGGCCAGATGGAGGGAGGTCTTGGTTCTTGCCTCCTCTCAGAAAGTGGCCAGAAATGGAGGAGACACATATGGCCATGGGCGAGATGCAAGACTTGTGATTATAAATAAAGTCCCCGGTCAGCAACTGCCAGTTCAAAGTGCAGGGTAGACTTCAGTATACATTTACCGAGCTGGGAATGTTGGAAAAGTCCCAGGGAGGTGCTCCTTTCCTTCCCTGAGAAATCTTCTGGAAAGGACTCCACTCTCCAATAATGAGTCCTCCATCCCATCCATAGGAGAGTGGTCTCCCAACCTCCTGGGCAGGGATCGGGTGCAGATCAGGGGTGCATGTGTTTTGTCATGTGTGCGTGACTGGCAAAGGAGAGGAACTGGATTTTGCTGAGCCCAAGCCATGGGCCAGGGGTTTCCCTTCCCCAGCCTGGGCGCAGCAGACATGATTCGGCCTGCTGTACAGAAGAGGAGATCGTTTCAGAGAAACTAAGACCTTTTTGAGGTTTGCACTGCAAATGGCCAGACAGGAGGAGCTCGCCCTCAGCCCCTATGACTCGAGTCCTCGTCTTCACGGCAGCAGCCACCTGTGCTCGCACCACGTCTGCCTTCCCACCAGGGTGCTGCCTCTTGGAACAGACTGTCTGCCACCCGCCCTTGTCCAGACCTGGATGCTGCTGGCCTCAGTCAAGGTTGGACTCTCCAGGGCACCAAAATATGTGCCCACACTTCTGGTCATGAGGGGAGGTGGCAAGGAAGGTCACTTTCTCTGCCTTCTCTGGTCACAGCCAGGTTTCCCTGAGGCAAGAACTGTGGTTACAGCTGAGCCACCACTGGGATTGAATTTCAGCCACTTGGTTGCCTGGCTCAGCCTGGCTGGCCTGGAGCGCTGGAGAGTCTGTGAGAAGGCAGGCCGGGCACACGCGTCCATGCGGACACCGTCCTGGGGAAAAGGGGCATTTCTTTCAGCTCTGAGATGCAAGGTCTGAGGGGAGCAGAAGGAAGTCCTAAGGCTTCTCAGATCTGTCCCCAAAGGCCTTCTCGGATACCCCTCTCTACTAGAGGACTTGGGGCTGCACTCTCAGGCCTAAAACAGTGCCTGGTCCACAGTGGGAATTCAATTAATATTTGTTCAATGAAATGCATAAACGGAGGTCTTTTCCTCCCCGGACTCCCTCAGGCTTCTTGCTCTGTCCGTCTCAGTCTGACATCCCTGCATTTTTCTTGCTGGGGGACCTTACTACCTACCACCCCAGGGTCCTCTTGTCCTGTCCCTATAGTAGGTGGGACTCTGGAGAGAAGCCAGAATCTTCCCTTTAGGTCCTCAAGGATTTGGGGTGGAGTTTCTTTGGGAGCTTCTCAAAGCCTTTTGGAACCAAGTCCACAGCACTGTGAGTAGAGGCCAGGCTGTGGTGAGTGGGGGTTTGGGGCATACAGCAGGGGGCGGTCCAGAGCTCCCAGAGGGGACTTAGGGTGCAGTCCAGATGGAAGGCTGAGGACCTGCCCTGAGCCTGCATTTGCATGGTGGGCACCCCATTTTACTTTGGATGTTTTGAAGATGCTGCTGGAGATTATGGTGATCAAAGCCCCGCACAAGCTATCCTGGGTGACAACACTGGTATCCATGGGAGAGAATCTAGGCATCTGGCTGTCCTGACCACAGTCGGTGCCAGGGGCTTTGCCTAGAGTCCCTAGAGGGAGGAGGGCAGAGAGGAGGGAAAAGGGAAGAGAGCCTGGGAAAGCAGAGGGAAGCCAAGGCCCTGGAGCTGGGGGTGGGGTGGGTCATTGGTATTCTGGGCGCTGAGGAGTTCCTGGCCAGCAGCACTCAAGGCCCACCCCCTGGCACCAGGCTGCACATTCAGTAGCGACAGCCCTGGCTAGTAGGCCCTCTGGGCTCCCAGCAACGCTAGCATTTTGCACATTGGTTTGCATGACCAGTAATGTCCGTTCACAGTGCCACCCCCCCACCCCACCAGGTCTAGAGATTTCCTGACTCTCTTTGATTAACCCATGATTCTGCTATCTAACCTCGATCCCTCCAGCTGCAAAGTCAGCTCCTCCTCTGTGCAAGGAGTGGGAGCACCACAGGAGGCAAAACCCAATAGGGCTTCCTCAGGGAGGTGGCTGTGTTCATTTGCACCTCATCTCTGCCTCCAAAAAGGAGCTTCCCATTTTGATGGGGGCAGGGGATATCTCTCTTTTCAGGAGCAAAGCTCTCATTCTCCCTTCATTCTCTTGCCTACAGATAAGCCTGACTTCCTTCTCCTCCTCCTTTGACCAATGGGAAGTCCCTCCAGCGGTCTAACTTCCATCCCTCCAGCTGCAGCATCATCCTCTAGCTCTGCGAAAGCTCCCTCCCCGCCCCTCCTGCCCTCCCTCCCTACTCCAGGTCCTCGGCTTCTCATCCCCGGAACGATGTCCTACTTCGCTTGTCCTTGCTCTCGCCGCTGCCGCCGGGAACCGACGCAGAGAAGGCAGCGGGTCCCGTGACCGTCCCGAGCCCCCCGCGTTCCCGGCCCCGGGGAAGGGCGGGGCAGGAGCCGGGAGGGGGAAGAAAGGGGGTTTTGTGCGGCGCCGGGCCGGCCGGCGCCCTCTTCCGGGCGTCCTGCGGGCCAGGCCTCTCCTCGCGCCCGCGCAGTCCCCGCCGCAGTCTCGGCTGCAGCTGCAGGACGGGCGGCGGGCCCGGCGGAGACCCCCAGAGGAGGCGACAAACTTCTCAGGACCGTCCCCCAACGCCAGCCCTGGCTAGGTGAGTGCCACCGCATCCCGGCCGCCCAGCCCCGGGAGGGAGAGAGAGAAGGGAGCGCCCACCGGCCGCCCTGTGGTCCGCGCCCCCCACCCCTCAGCCCTTGCCCCCGAGGCTCTGGGGCACCCAACTCGCGGGCCCCCGACACCTCTGCGAGGTCTGCTGCCCACCAGCCTGGAGCGCCTATAGCTCCTGCTGCCCTCTCCCATCTGCACGCCCCGGCTCTGCCGGTGACAGCCCCACCGCTGCCTGCGGTCTGACCCGCAGCCCCTTGTCGCGTGTGCGGCTACGGGAATACCTCTCTGGATCCTCAGATCCTCCCGGCTGCGCTCTCCAGTCCCAGAGCGACCGCCGAGATTTCCGACCTTGTCCCCAGCAGGCAGGCGGCGGTCCCCGGTCAGCCCCTGACTCCGGGCTCGCGCGGGGGGCAGCACCGCGGGAGGAGCAGCGGGGAGCAGCCCGCCTGGGGCACCTTCCCGTAGCCTGCGAATCGGAGCCGCCATAGGGGCGGTCGGGGTGCCAGCTCTACCGCTTACTTGCTGTGTGACCTTGGGGTCATTAGTTGACATCCCTGAACCTTGGGTTCCTCATCAGTGTACCAAGGAAAGCACAAACAGCATTTTTCTCACAGTCGAGGGTATCCTTAGGAAGCACGTAGTAGCAGGCCTGGTTCAGGTAGACGGTCACTAATTGGTAGCCAGAGTTCGGTTACCACTCCTGCTTTCCTTCCTAGCCCTTCCGGGAGGCTGGGAGTGACCACCTCCACATGCCTCTCCTACCAGACTAGCTCTGCTCACATGGCTCTAACAGGACCACGAGATTATTATTATCTTTATTACTTGGATTGCAGATAACACCAATGAGATCCGTGGACAGAGTTACCAAGAGACCCGCCCCCAGCACTGCCAGTATCTATGTGTTAGGTTCGTAACAGCATCACCCACATTTCAGATTCTGTACCAGCGGGATCTGCAATAGCTCGGCTGGCAATGTTGCTAATAGTATTATTAGTTGTACTTCCAATAAATAGGACTATTTATATGATCATTGCAATCACTCCTACAGGCCCTAAGGCCTCCGTGATATTGTGTAGGCTCACGTTGCTCCTCACACAGGCACTGAGGGGGTAGCTGAGAGCTTCCCACCTGCTGTGACAGGAAGTCTGGCCTCCTGCACCTCCCTGCTGACCCTGCTGACTGCTGGAGCTCAGCTCCTATGGGGCAGGCGTGGGACTGCCAGCTGGTGGGCATTGAGCATGGAGGTCTCTCTCTCTCTCTCTCTCTCTCTCACACACACACACACACACACACACACACACACACAGCCTGGTCTTACTTCTCCGTGGATTGGGTCCCCGAAGCCTGTGAGGGAGACTGACATGCACGGTCAGACAGCAGTGATGGTATAATCAGGGGACAGTTTCCTGAACAGCTTGAGGAACCCAAAACAAGAGCAGAGCCCCAGAGGCTGGAGCAGGAGACAGAGAGCTGAGGGACAGGAGGATGTGGCACCAGGGGAAGAGACAGGATGACTGCTGGGCTCTCAGGGTTAGAGATGGAGGGGTGCGTCCGGCTCTGGAGGAAGAGGAGATGGAGCAGAGGTGAGTGCGTGGCATAGAGGGGGCCGCAGCGCCCTGGACCCCTGGACTCTGAGCCTGGTGCCAAACGAGGGGATGCCTGCGTGTGCAGGGCTCCTGCCTGCACCAGGAAGGGCTGAGGCCCCCGCTGGGTGTGATCAAGGGGACAAGAGAGACAGAGCTCTCAGAACTGCACAGGGCTACCCACCTGGCCTCTCTGGCCAGTAGCTCCCACTCCTGGGGAAAGGAGTGGGTTGCCCTCCATGTTCGAGAGTGACCAGGTCCTCGCTGGCCTCAGACAGACCCTCTTCCCTCAGGCTCCCACTGTCAGAACAGAGGTGAAAGGGTTGGTCCAGGGCGTTGGCCCCAGAGTGACTCCAACTATATGGGTTTCTGGGCCGCCTGTCAGACAGCTGGGAGCCAGGGCTGTGAGCAGCTCCAGCTCCAGCCCAGAGAGAGAGGGGAGGTAGGGCACCAGGAAGGGGCCGGGCCCAGGCCCTGGCACAGCTCAGATGTGTGCAGTCTCTCAGCACCCAGCAGGCACTGGCTGCTCATGCTGAATGGTCCCACTCCAGCCCCAGAAAATAGTCCTCCCAAGTGCCCCCATGCCTGGAGCTGGTCTCAGCACCCTGTCATATGGCCCTGTCAAGCGCCTCCTCCCTCTTGAAGGTCAGAGAGGCCCTAAGCATCTGGCTCAGCTACTCTTCCCCCAGTTCTGACCCTGAGGAAATGGTGCCCAGGCACCGTGGGGGAAATGGAGGTTACAATGGTAGGAGGCAGGGGAGCTTAGCCTGGGAGGATCTGGGAGAAGAGGGAAATTTCCCATCAGCTCAGGATCAGGAATGTCGGGGGCACGTTGGGGGGCATGTATAGAGGCAGAGCCTGAGAGGGCAGGGAAGATGGAGGTTGAATAGTGGGCCTGGAGTGGGAGTGAGTAGCCAGTGGGAATATGCCTGATCTCTAGAAAGTCCTGCCTGAAGTCTAACCTTCAGTTCTCCTGCTGCATCATCAGCCATGACAACCCTGGGTCCCCATGCTCTTCTAAATCTAGCCCAACCCTTAAAGATGATGTTGGACACTAGCTCTGCAGCCTTTCCTCCTGGGGGGTACATTGGCCTGGTGCCTGACTTGGCTTTGCTGGGGACCCAGGGTCAGCCCTATCCCTCTCTGGGCCTCAGTCTCCATTTCTCAATGTCACACCTCACCCCTCTTATGAGAGTGTAAGTGCTTTGAGATCTTCAGAGGAATATTCTGGGTCCTAGAGCTTCTGATAGCCAGGGGTAGGAGGGAGCGGCCCCTCCCACTTATTCTCACTCTGCCTAGTCCACCCCCCAGCCCAGGGCTTTCACAAAAGGTGGGGTGGGGGAAGGGAGGGACTGGATGGAGGCCAGACTGGCAGAGACAGGGGCTTTGTCCCAGCTGGTTTCTGAGCCAGGAGATCCGGTGGGAAAGCCCGTGCCAGGCAGAAAGGAAAGGCTGGGAGGAAGAAGGGAGGAGGCAGCCAAGGAAGGGGGATGGAGGAGTAAAGAGAAGTTTCCTTATAAGTAATGGTGGGGTGGAGATAGAGGAGGGATGGGCTAGGGAGAAGTTGTGCACTGCCTGGGGTTGGGCTAGGAGGCCCTCTGGAGGAGGCCTGGAGTGGAAGTGGGCAGCCAGTGGGATAAGCCTGGTCTCTGCAGGAGGCTAGGTGGGTATGGTACCCAGGGAGGAAGGAATGGCAGGAAAGGTGGGAGGGGCATTATGGGAAAAGGAGGCTCTGGGTTCTAGGAAGGAGTCTGGGCCAGCATAGTGGTTGACGCCTGTAATCCTAGCACTCTGGGAAGCCCAGGTGGGTGGATCACTCAAGGTCAGGAGTTCCAAACCAGCCTGAGCAAGAACAAGACTCCACCTCTACTAAAAAATGGAAAGAAATTAATTGGCCAACTAAAAAATATATAGAAAAAAATTAGCCAGGCATGGTGGCACATGCCTGAAGTCCCAGCTACCTGGGAGGCTGAGGCAGGAGGATCACTTGAGCCCAGGAATTTGAGGTTGCTGTGAGCTAGGTTGACACCATGGCCTCGGGCAGCAGAGTGAGACCCCCCCCCCCAAAAAAAAAGGAAGGAGTCCAGCACTGGGAGGGGCCAGATGGACTTCTAACTTCTAAGTATAATAGCACTTACCATTCATGCTGTAAGCATTTATTGAGCTCCTACTGCGTGCCTGATGCTGTGAATTTGTACAGTGTTTTTTTCTCTTTTTTCTTTTTAAGGATATAAAGCACTCTCAAAGCACACAGTCTCATCACAATTTGTGAGGTGGTAGCCATGGTGCTCTTTTACAAATAAGAAAAGGAAAGCCCAGAAAGGGTGAGGAACTTGGCTTAGGGCACACAGTGAGTGGACTGGGACCCAGGTCCTGGCTCTCAGGAGGAATCCCTTGGCAGGGAGACAGGGATCAGAGACAGAGAGTTAATGGTGAGGTGGGGCAGGGGGCTTCTGAGGCCAGGGTATGTGTGAACCCATGCAGGTGTGGTAGGGAGCCAGGGGAAGTTCATCCTGAAGTCTAACCCCATCTTTCCTCCTCAAGTCCCTCCACCAGCCTGCAGCATGGCCCCACTCCTCCTGCCCCTGCTGGCAGTCCTGGCTCTGGCCCAGCTCCCTGCAGCCTTAGCTGATGTCCTGGAAGGTGACAGCTCAGGTAAGCAGCCCCACTCAGGGTCACTGTCTCTGTCTCCTGCATCCCCTATGGTAGGGCGGTGGCCTCTTGTTCAGTCCTAACCAACTGCTTTCAGCCTTGGGGACCCCAGAGGAGATAGAACTGGGAGGGTTGTGGGGAAGGGTCCAGGCTAGAACACTTGAAAATAAGGAATGAGCTGTGGACCCCTGGTAGGGTGGAGAAATCTTGGGGGTAAGGCTGGGGAGGGGCACTGGTGCAAGGCTTCAGGTCCCTAGGGTGGAGACGAGGTAGGGCTAAGATGAATGGAGCCGGGAGGCGGAAAAGGAGTGGAACTGGCAGAAACTCTGAAGAGACTCTAAAGAGAACAGACTGGGAAGTTTTGAAAACAGGGCTGGAGGACCCAGAGGGCAGGGTTGGAGGACCCTGGGGTGTGGCCCGGGGATCCTACAGTGGAACTGGAAGACTGGGAGCAGGGCAAAGGAATCCTGGGGTGGAATTGTCTAGGAGACTTTGGGAGATGGGTCTGGGGACCGTGGGAACTGGCCTGGAGGACCTAGAGATGGGGTTGTGGGACCCTGGTCTCCGGCTGGGGTCATGAAGGGCCTGGCGGAGTCCTGGGACGGGGCGAGGGGACCCTGGAGCAGGGCTTGGCGTCCACCGGGTGGGACCCGCGGGTCCACCGCGCGAAGTTCCAGCCGGCTCCGCCCATCCACAGAGGACCGCGCCTTCCGCGTGCGCATCGCGGGCAACGCGCCGCTGCAGGGCGTGCTCGGCGGCGCCCTTACCATCCCGTGCCACGTACACTACCTGCGGCCGCCGCCCAGCCGCCGCGCAGTGCTGGGCTCTCCGCGGGTCAAGTGGACCTTCCTGTCCGGGGGCCGTGAGGCGGAGGTGCTAGTGGCCCGAGGAGTGCGCGTGAAGGTCAACGAGGCGTACCGGTTCCGCGTGGCACTGCCTGCCTATCCCGCGTCGCTCACCGATGTCTCCTTGGCGCTGAGCGAGCTGCGGCCCAATGATTCAGGCATCTACCGCTGCGAGGTCCAGCATGGCATCGATGACAGCAGTGACGCTGTGGAGGTCAAGGTCAAAGGTGAGAGGGCAGGCATAGAGAGAGGTTTGGGGAGGGAGGCTGGGGAGCACTCTTGCTCCCTGGGAGCCCACAGGCTGACGGGGGAAGCAAATGCACCTGAAAAGCACAGACTGAGTTGGAAAACGTGTGAGGAAACACAGGCTTTTGTTACCTCCCTTTTTTCTTTAGGTGGAGGAAATGCCACCCATAGTCTAACTTAAGACCCTCATGCTGTAGAATGAACACAATTTGGATCTTAACTTTGTGTACAGGGGAATGACAAGGGGGTGGGGGGAGGTCAGTGTACTGGGTGATCACCTGGCTCAGGGGTCCTCTCTGCCCCTCAGGGGTCGTCTTTCTCTACCGAGAGGGCTCTGCCCGCTACGCTTTCTCCTTTACCGTGGCCCAGGAGGCCTGCACCCGCATCGGAGCCCGCATTGCCACCCCGGAGCAGCTCTATGCCGCCTACCTTGGGGGCTATGAGCAATGTGATGCCGGCTGGCTGTCGGACCAGACTGTGAGGTGGGCTGGGGCTGTGGATTAGGGCTTCCATTTGCTCCCGAGGTGGCTGTGGCCTCCCTTTCTGCCAGGCGCTGCCTGCTGTGCCAGGCGGGACATACAGGGCTCCTTGCCTCTGGGGAATGAGGAGGGGAGTGAGGACCCTGCTGCAAGGGTGTGCGTTCCTGCAGAGCTGGGAGGACAGACAGCCAGGCTATCGACAGTTGGCTGCAGTGAGGGCAGTGTGATCCGGTAGAGTCTGTGCGGACAGCTTCCTCGTGAAGGCATCTGTACTGAGTCTCTGTCCTCACTCCCCAGGTATCCCATCCAGACCCCGAGAGAGGCCTGTTACGGAGACATGGATGGCTTCCCTGGGGTCCGGAACTATGGAGTGGTGGACCCGAATGACCTCTATGATGTCTACTGTTATGCTGAAGACCTAAATGGTGATTGGGGGCAAAAGGTTCCCAGTGCCGCCCGTAGGTCCTCCCAGGGCCCCTGCTGGTCCTTACTGTCCCTCATGTGTTTAAGAGGGCAGGCAGGAGTAAGGAGACAATCGGTAGCCCTCCTTCCAAACACTGTCATAGAGGCAAGCCTCAGCCAGGTACTCCTCTGCTACCTGCTGGGCAGACTCTGTGCAGGGCTCCTTGCAGAATAAGGAAGTTGGGCCAGCTTCCTTTGAGCTGTAATATCCATCTAGAGGTTCTATCCAGACTTTCATCCTATGAAGTAGGGAGTTGACCCTAAGTCACAAATGAGGAGACTGAGGCCCAGAGGAGCTTGTCCAGGGTTCGTGTGGAAGCCCAGGGTGGAAGGGGCTACCGACTACCTGGTAACCCAGCCTCCTCTTCCCCACCTAGGGGAGCTGTTCCTAGGTGCCCCTCCAGATAAGCTGACGCTGGAGGAAGCACGAACATACTGCCAGGAGCGGGGTGCAGAGATTGCCACCACGGGCCAACTGTATGCAGCCTGGGACGGTGGCCTGGACCGCTGCAGCCCGGGCTGGCTGGCCGATGGCAGCGTGCGCTACCCGATCGTCACACCCAGCCAGCGCTGTGGTGGGGGCCTGCCTGGTGTCAAGACTCTCTTCCTCTTCCCCAACCAGACGGGCTTCCCCAACAAGCACAGCCGCTTCAACGTCTACTGCTTCCGAGGTGAGCCTACCTCCCTGTAGAGGCTGAGACCAACTTCAGAAAGGCAGGGTCGAGCCCTGAAAGTCCCACCCCAGCTCTGACCAGTTTCTCTCAGGTCTTTGCCATTTGCCTGAAGGAGTCGTGGATGATGCCCAGCTTGTCATCTAGGGTTCTAACTCTGGGCATGCCCCCGGGCTTGGTCTCACTCGGCTGTGTGGCCTCCAGGAGTGGTCATCTCTCTGCGTCTCCTTACCTGCCTCCCATCATAGTCCACACCTTGTCTCTTCCAGTCTCCAAGCGGCCTTTCCACACTGGGCTGCTGAGTAAGTTCCCACTTCCTGTGGGAACTTATTGGCAGAACAGAGATCACCAACATTCTCCCAGTTAACCAAGTGCCCTCGAGAGCCTTCAGGAAGGTTTCCAGAACCTGCAGCTTAAAGGTGTTAGAGCCTTAACCACCAAATACTGGTGGACAGACAATTCCCCCCATGGGGAGCCAGACCTCAAGTACAGTTGGGTACAGAGATGGCTTCCTGCTGATATCTCGTATATTGGGAGCTGGAGGGGAGGCAGTGTCTGGGACCCCCAGAGGCACAGGGCCCAGGCCATGGGGGACTGACAGTCAGGGAGGTATTGCCATGGAATGTCTGGGTCCTTGACCAAATTATGAGCCTGCAATACTGGTACAAGGGCTGGGAGCAGAGATGAGAGGACAAGACACAGCCTTTACGCTCCAGGAGCACCTAGACTGATGGGGGAAGACACAGCTCTTGCCATGAGCAATCCCCGTCTAGGGAATGACAAGACACCTCGGTCCCAGGATGAGGAGAGACTGAAAGAAAAGTGCTACTTCCATTGGGACATATTTGCAGACATCTTTGGCCTGGAGCTGGGGAGGGGTGGGGAAGTAAAGTTCGTAGGAAGACAGGTGCATCTGAAAAGGCATCTGGAAACAGGGATAATAATAATAATAGCTGAAACTTCTATGCTCTGGTTATGATTATGTGCCAAGTACTGCTCTGGGAAGGAAGAGCTGGATGAAGGGGAGGGGAAGGAAGAGGGAGAGTATGACCACCTTGGGGGCTACCATTGATAGAGGACAGAGGAAGCCAGGGCACAGGTTTGCTGGTCTGCTGTGGAGCAGTGCTCACTGGCGCCGGTGACGAGGGCAAGGACACACCGTTCTGTCTCACCTGGCTGAGCACAGATGGCCCTTGGGGCTTTTCTTAGCCCAATTCCTTCTTTGCTCCATTGGTTTTCTGCTCTCGGTTCCCTTCCCCAGAGAACAAGGTAATCCATTCTAAACCTCTGGTTATTTGAAGGGAGCAGACCGCAGAAGGAGGTGGCCTCTTTGCCCTCTTGCACCACCACTGAGATCCTCAGGTGACGACTGTTGAATGCTCTTCCTGCACTCTGCCCGTCAGCTCTCCTGTGGGGATGGCAGCCTGTCCCCTTCCATTTCAAGAATCTTGGGGTGACTGGGACCCCTCACATCTTGCCCCAAGCTCAGGGTCCCAAGATGCTGAGGCCATTTCATCCATCCTTCGCTCCATCCCCTCACTCAAGGGAATGTCTCTCACCTGAGCCTTTCTGATACTCTAAAGCAGTGCTTCCCACCATTCTATCTTCTGCCCCTGCTCAATTGTTCTTTATATTGTAACTGTATAGTCTATGTTTGTTTACTATGTGTATCTAGACTATAAATTCCCTTGAGGACAGGAATTTTGCTGTTTTGTTCTACCACATCCTCAGTGCCCAGGAGAATGCTTGGCATGACATGTAGTAGGCATCTGATTCTTGCCTGAGAAATGAGTGACAAAGTTCTGGGCTGCTCCCTGGGCCCCAGTGGGTGCTCCACAGGAAGATGTGAGAGAACTGAGAGAACCCCACGGCCTCCAACAGTCTAACTGAGAGCCCTCACATGCAGGCCGTGGCCTGGGAGGGCAGGGGTACCTCCTCAGCCTCCCATCGGCACTTTCCTCCTGCCACAGACTCTGCTCGGCCCTCTGCCCTCCCTGAGGCCTCCAACCCAGCTTCTGACCTGGCCTCTGATGGACTAGAGGCCATTGTCACAGTAACAGAGACCCTGGAGGAACTGCAGCTGCCTCAGGAAGCTGTGGAGAGCGAGTCCCGTGGCGCCATCTACTCTATTCCCATCATGGAGGATGGAGGAGGTGGAAGCTCCACTCCAGAAGACCCGGCAGAGGCCCCTAGAACCCTCCTAGGTAACTCAAATCCCTTACCCTGGGGACATCTTCACCTGGGAGATGTTGGGGGCAGAAGGGACAGGCCCAGTTTGGTGCTGGGGTCATGGCTGATATAACTCTGCCCTGTCCTTTTTCAGCAGCTCGGTAGTACAAGGCACTCCTTCTCCGGTCCCTCTCCTAACCTTTGTCTTTCAAGTATATTCTACCCCAACTATATGGGGCTGGAGATGCTTGGACTAAGGCGCTGTCCCCTGGGAAGGAGGGGCCTCCCTTCTTTGCTCCCTGCTCCACCTCACCTACTCAAAACAGACTAGAGTATTGACAGGCTAGGAGAGTGGAGATGCAACAGCCATCTTATTCTGGGCTAATGACAGCTCACAGAGCCTTTTCAAGTTGTCCAAACCTCAACAATGCAGCTAAGGTTGAAGCTCTTCCAGTGTGGAACAAAAACCACCTCTCTCCAGAATGGGCCCTTCCCTCTCCCCTGTACCTACCCTCCCAGCCCCACCTTTCTCCCCTTCCCCTTCCTTCTTTCTGTCCTCTGGTGGGTGCTGTCCCTGGTGCTGAACCTTTTGTGCTTTGCCCAGAATTTGAAACCCAATCCATTGTACCACCCACGGGGTCCTCAGAAGAGGAAGGCGAGGCACTGGAGGAAGAAGAGAAGTATGAGGATGAAGAAGAGAAAGAGGAGGATGAAGAAGAGGAGGACACAGAGGATGAGGACCTGTGGGCATGGCCCAGCCAGTTCAGCAGCCCAGGCCCTGAGTCTTCTTTCCCTACGGAACCAGCCCAGGATGAGCTGCCCTCCCAGGAATCCCCGCTGGCAAAAGCAGTCCTGCAGCCTGGAGAATCACCACTTCCTGATGGAGAGTCAGAAGCTCCCCGGCCTCCAAGGGTCCATGGACCACCTACTGAGACCCTGCCCACTCCCAAGGAGAAGAACCTAACATCCCCACCACCTTCCACACCAGCTGGGGCAAGAGAGGTGGGGGAGGAAACTGGTGGTCCTGAGCTATCTGGGGTCCCTCGAGGAGAGAGTGAGGAGACAGGGAGCTCGGAGGATGCCCCTTCCCTGCTTCCAGCCACACAGGCCCCTGAGGGTACCAGGGAGCTGGAGACCCCCTCCGAAGACAATTCTGGAAGAGCTGCCCCACCAGGGACCTCAGTGCAGGCCCAGCCAGTGCTGCCCACTGACAGCGCCAGCCGAGGTGGAGTGGCCGTGGCCCCCTCATCAGGTAATTCTGCCCAAGGCTCAACCTCCCTTTTTATCCTCCTCCTTTATCTCCCCCTGCAGCTCTGGGCCACCTGACCTGTAGTCCTTTAACACACCATCACCCTAGACTCTCCTGTCCTTTGCCTTCATTCTCTTACCCACATCTACCGTGGGTCTCCAATCCTTGATACCCACCTTGTGACTTCCACTCCACTCTCAGTCTTCACCCTGTGATCCCAGCCCCATCACTGACCACCTGTGACTCTTTCCTGCCCTTGGGCCCTCCACCAGTGGCTCGCATCTCACCGGCCCCACAGAGCATCCTCATGCCTCTTCAGGGTGCCCGCATCACCCGGCATACTCTCTGGGGCCAGGCCCACCTTCCATTGCTCCCTTCCCCCTCCTGTGTGCCATCCCCTTCTGCCACCTCGCACCGGTCTCAGGGGAGCCTGGGAGTCCATCCCTGCCCCTCAACCTCTGAGGTCCAGGAGAGCCCTTATCCCCATAGAGCCTTAAGCAACTACTTCTGTGAAGTATTTTTTTTTTTTACTGTTTCATGGAAAACAAGCCTTGGAAATAAATCTCTATTAAACCGCTTTGTAACCAAGCTCTGGTCCCCTCTGTCTCCATCTCCAGCTGTCTGCCCTCCTCATTCCATGCGTCTGTGTCATAGGTAGCTTTTGATGCTTCTCTTTGGCTCCATGTCTCTCCCTCTTTCTTTTTGTCCCGCCTCTCTGTGTCTCTTCTTTCTTCATCTTCAGCTTCTACCCTTTTCTGTCCTAGCGGTCTAACAGCCCGTCGCTACTCCCTCAGCCTCTCCTTCCCAAGTGTCTGCACTTTCCTTCCTGGCTGCTGAGATCCGGAATCTGACTGTACACACTACCCCAGAGAAGTCATCGTCCATCAGTCTTCAGGAGTGCTGGGCATTGTAGCCCCTCACTCTTGATGGGGAGAAACTCTTACAGCCTCGGATGCATGTGTTGTGCACTTACATTCATTTCTGATCCATCTTGGTGGTTCCCATATAGAGCAGTGATGGAGAAAGTCTCTCAGCATGGCAGTGGTCCCCCTATATCCAGGTGCCCTAACCTCCCATCTCCTATCCCTTCGTCTCAACAAGGGATGATATGTAACTCTCATCCCACTGCCCACAGCTTCCCCCTCCTCCACTAACCCCTGCACTAATGACCACCCCCTGCTCCTCCCCAGAAAAAGTGGTCTCACCCTCTCCAAATCCAAAGGATCTCAAAGTCCCTAAGGCTAAAAAAGACACAAAGCAGAGGACAAGCGATGGAGAGTGTGGAGAAAGGACGAATGGGAAATTAGGCTCTGGAGTCTGAGAGAAGCCCTACCTACTTAGGGAAGGTTAAGATTCCCAGTGGAGGCCCCAGAGAAGGCTGGGATTCTCTCAGCCCAAGACTCCCTCTCCTAGATGGATCACACTCTGTGTCACACCCAGGCTCACCCACTTCAACTGTTTGCTCCCTTCCCAGCTGGCCTTGGAGCTCAGCACTGTGTGGGGAGGGAGGGGGGTTGGTGGTAAAAGCAGCACAACTGGAGGTATCTACAGTGTCTTAGTTCCCCTCCTGAAGGATAAGTGAGAGCCCCCTGGCCTGCTATTTCAACAGAAGAGAAGGAAAAATTTTCTGGTTATATGCAGTAGTTGGTCCCAAAGAGAGGGAGGGAGGGAAATAAGAAAGTCCCAAGAAGAGTTCCTTCAGCCTACTCTGCCTAGCTGGGTTCAGGTTCTGCAGCCCACAGCCAGGGGGAGGGACTTATGACCTGAGTAGGGAATCAAGAACCAAGTTTGAGAGTCTCTGTACTCCAGGGTTGGAGGGTTGAACATGAAAGAGCAGAGGGGACAACAAGAGGAGCAAGAAAACTTGAGGGATGGAAGGGGGGTTCAGAACTCCTACCCTCTGTGGGGCTTGGTGCTTAGTGGGTTAAATAAAATACCTCCTCCCCTGGGGGTGAGAGGGCAGCTCTACCAACTGGGAAGAAACTATTGGCAGGAGGGGAGATGACATGGGGAATGGTGCTGGAAAAGCTGATTCATTTTACTCAAAACAGCTAGGTCATCCCAGCAAAATTCTTTGAATCAACTCCAGCTTCTCCTCCCCCTCCCCCTGCCCTGATCCCCACCAGTGCATGGGATCTGTGGCCAGGCCAGTGTGAAGCATTGTGGGCCTTGTTCATGGCTGCAAAGGGAGGATGGTAAGGTCTGAAGGGTCCCACCTTGGGATAGTTTTACTTCCGGTGGCTGGCTGAAGGCTGTGACCTGCACTGTTGGTCTGTGGAGTCATCGTCCCCTGGGTCATGTGGAACAGAAAGGAGTGGAAACTGATAGCTCTTCCAGCACCCAGGCACAGCCTAAGGGCAGCCCACCTTCCACTCCAGGATCCAGAGAGGAAGAAGTCCAAAAGAGAAGGCAGATGGCCTAGCCAGATGGATCCCAAAAACAGATTGCAGGCCTTCAGGGTGGTACGTTAGTCTACATGGACTGCCTGGAGGAGAGGGAGCCAGAAGGAGGGAGTGAGATGGATTCTAGGCTGCAGAACCTGCAGAAGGCCCAAAGTGGACATGGAGGGGGAGCTTGGCAAGGTGGAAGAGTCTGGGGAGAGAAGAAGGGGAGGCAAAGGGCTTGAGTGATGTTGAGAGGAAGCTGAGTGTGTAAGGCCAGCCAGCACTGCAGGATAACGGGGGCTGCTGCAGCTTCTTTCCTGAGCTGGGGAAAAGGGATAGGACATAGAGTGAGGAAAGTGGGTTGGATCTCTGCTAACCACTTCTGGGGCTGGCTAACTCTGCCCAGTGGACAGCAGGAAGAATGGTTAGCACTCACGTGGACCACGCCAACATCAGGTCCCAGGAGCAGTTGAGGAAGGCCACACCCTGCCACTGCTGTGGTAATTCTCCTCTTCCCCTCTTCTAGTTCCGCCCAGCCCACCTAGACTATACAGAACTGTGCTGGGACCTGGCACAAAGACAGGAGGTGTGGGAAAACTCCAAGCCTAGAGAGAAAAAGTGACTTGCTCAATGTCACACAGAAGAGCTGGGAGCCAGAGAAGAGTCCAAGTCTATAACTGACAGTGCAGTATCTCTCCCTGTAGTGGGGTTGGGCCCTGAGGGCCTTCTTGGCCACTTCCCCCAGCCCCTTTTGGACAGGGCCCACCTTGATGGGCATGATAATGGCCTGCACAGGGCTGAACCAATGCTGAAGTGGGGGGGGGGTTAGGAAAGAAACCCAGAATTCAGCCCTGGGCTGTGCCTGGAAGCAGGCTCCAAAGGGACCTTTTAGGGTGGTGTGATAGCTCCTAGGACAGGGAGGTCAGGGCTGGGGGACCCTCTGGACCCTCCCCTGGAGGGCTCAGGCTGCAGAGTTGTGCTCCCCTGCTCCACCACCTCACTTCTTTCCCCCTCTCAGGTGACTGTGTCCCCAGCCCCTGCCACAATGGTGGGACATGCTTGGAGGAGGAGGAGGGGGTCCGCTGCCTATGTTTGCCTGGCTATGGGGGGGACCTGTGCGATGTTGGTGAGTGTGTTGAGGGGCATGGTGGGGGGAAGAGCTAAAGCCTGGATCCTGCCACAATGTGCCAGTTCTGAGGGTTGGGGCAGGGGGCACCGGTTTTGGCTTTGTCATTAATGAATCCCCATTTTAGCCAAGTTACATAACTTCTCAGAACCCTACCCCTAATTTCCTCTTCTGTTAGTTAAGTGGAATCAACATGCCTCTCTTAGGGGGTGTGTGAGAGGAGTGCTGAGCATACTCCTGGTATTTGGTGGTCAGGCAATACATGTCAGTTTCCATTCTCCTGGAAAGAGAGGAGGGTACAACTCTTCCTCAGGAGGGAGGGTTGCAGGATAGAACTCCATCCCTCATCCCGGTCCTTATCGCTCTTAGAAGGCACCAATGCCGGTGCCCAAGAGCCCCTCCAGGCTCATACTAGCCCCTTGTTCCCTACTAGCTCTTTGGCACCGCCCTCCTGCCCCTTAGTCCCGCCCCTCTCTGTCTGCGGCGGTGAAAGGAGCCAGTCCCTTCCGGGAGACCTGGCCCCTCTGGGTTCTGGGGTCCTAAGACGTCTACCTTTCTGTGCCCCAGGCCTGAGCTTCTGTAGCCCTGGCTGGGACTCCTTCCAGGGCGCCTGCTACAAGCACTTTTCTACACGAAGGAGCTGGGAGGAGGCAGAGACCCAGTGCCGGATGTACGGCGCGCATCTGGCCAGCATCAGCACGCCGGAGGAGCAGGACTTCATCAACAGTGGGCTGGGGACGGGGCAGGAGGAGCCCCTGTAATGTGCCCTCTCTCACTCGCTCATTCACTCTCTTACTCATTAACGACTTCATTCATTAATTCACGTAGCCATTACTACGTTTCTCTCATTCATTCATTCACCCTCTCAGTCTCTCTCCCTCCTTCCCACTGTACATGTAGGCAGTGGGGCTTCAGAAGGGAGGGTTGGGGTTCATGCAAGCACCTACACCTGTGTCAGCCACTCTTGCACAGGGGCTCGCCTCCAGTCGCTTCCACCTCCCTGGCTCTCCTGCCTTCATCTGCCTCCCCCGACTCTAATTCGTTGAAAGTTTGTACTCTTTTTCCCGAGTTCCTCTTTTCTAGCTCAGGTTAATATTTTTCTTCTTCTCCCATCCCTACGTCCCTGCCTTCCATCCGGTCGGTGTGCAGGGGTTGGAGCGAGGGTTAAGGAAACTGGGAGGAGCGGGTTCGGGGTTGCGGGCGAGGATTTCCCCGGCGGTCACCCACAGACCGCCCGGTAACGGGGAATGACCGCCATCTGCTGGCAGCGGAGCTCACTGCACACTTTCTCGCCCGGGCGGTTCTTCCCTAGATCAATACCGGGAGTACCAGTGGATCGGGCTCAATGACCGGACCATCGAAGGTGACTTCCTGTGGTCGGATGGCGTCCCCCTGGTGAGAGCCCCGTCGGCCCCAATGCAGTCTGGTTCGCTTCCTGGACGCACTTCTGATCTCTACGGCAGCCCCTGATGGTCCCTCCCCCTTCTTTTCCTGGCCTCCTTCCCTTTCCCCTGCCCCTCCTCGCTTCTCCCTGGGCTCTCTTCCCTTCCTTGTGTCCTTCTCCTCTTCTGGCTCCCATTCTCCCTCGCCCAAAGCCCTTGCCTTCTTTCCCCTTGGGGGGGCTACTCCCCAGTCCCCTAGACTTCCCTATCCTGGGATTCCTCCCACCCCTCCTCCTCCCAGATGCTCTGGTCCATTCCCCCCTGTGCTCCTGGTGTTGGAGGTCCTCACAGTCTCCTCCGGCCTCCCAGCTTTATGAAAACTGGAACCCTGGGCAGCCTGACAGCTACTTCCTGTCTGGAGAGAACTGCGTGGTCATGGTGTGGCATGATCAGGGACAATGGAGTGATGTGCCCTGCAACTACCACCTGTCCTACACCTGCAAGATGGGGCTGGGTGAGGGCAGGCAAGGGAGGGTCCAAGCAAGGGAGTGGAGGGCTGTGGGGGGGAACTGATATTTATAGAATGAAAAGCCACACAGAGGACTCAGAATGTTTTCCAGACCATGTGAGGGCTAACAAATTACATGGGTCCACTTGGAATCCTGATTTCTTTTGTCATATTGTGGCTCAGATCCTCCCCATCAAGATTCTGGGAACTATCGCCCACAGATCCAGGCTCCCAGTTCCTAACTGCGCCCCCCTTGCAGTGTCCTGTGGGCCCCCGCCAGAGCTGCCCCTGGCTCAAGTGTTTGGCCGCCCACGTCTGCGCTATGAGGTGGACACAGTGCTTCGCTACCGATGCCGGGAGGGACTGGCCCAACGAAACCTGCCTCTGATCCGCTGCCAGGAGAATGGTGACTGGGAGCCTCCCCAGATCTCCTGCGTGCCCCGAAGGCCTGTGAGTGCCAGGAGGAGGCATATGGGGGTGGGGGACACTAGTCAACAGCAGCTCCAGTCCCAGCCCTGCCTGTCACTGGCCGTGTCACCTTGGAGTCATCACTGCCCCTCTCTGGGACAAAGAGAAGGAGGTGGGTTGGATACTCTGGGGCCCCCTTCAGTGCTGTCTGAGAACATGCAGCCACACTCTGGGCTTTTAAGGGCTGAGCTAGAGTATTTTGATGAGGTCAGGGTCAAGGAGCAAGAACACCAGAGGACAGGCTCTGAGAAGAGAGAGAAAGAGGAGGAGCCCAGGGTGGAGGGTGAGTGTGTGTGTCTTCCCCAGGCCCGAGCTCTGCACCCAGTGAAGGCCCCAGAAGGACGTCAGGGAAGGCTACTGGGGAAGGCGCTGTTGACCCCTCCTTCCAGCCCCGCTCCAGGTCCCCAGGGAGCAAGGCCTTGAACACTGCTGGCCCCAGCACTGCTCTCTCACCCCAACCCTCCCTCACACCCTGTGCTCTTGCTATCACAGAAAGTGACAACCTGAGAGGGGTGGAGCTGGAGTCCAGGTGACAGTGCCTGAGAGGCTTCTGGGAAATACCTGGGTGGCTCCAGCCCAGCCCAGCCTAGGCCCTCTCCCCTCACTCTGGGCATCAGGTTTTTCCCTCAGGGCAACCGGTAAGTCCCTAAGTGCCTTAATTGCCCCTCCCTACCAGCCATCCTGTCGCCTCCATTCCTCTAGGGGGCACACTGTGCCTGCTCATTCTTGGTTTGCCAGGGGAATGGGTTTGCAGGATGGAGTACCTGTAAAACCAGCAGGAAATAAAGCTGCGTTTGAGCCCAAGCAAGTAGTATGCTCCTGTGTGAGTGTGTGTGTTTGTGTGTGTGTGTGTGGGGGGGGAGAGAGACAAAGGGAGGTGTGTGGTTGGGCAGAGCCTCATAGGATAGATAGCGCTTCTGTGTTTATTAGCTTCTGAAGGTCAGAGGAGTCCCCAAGATGTCAGTGGCTAGAACACACCTGGCCCGGTACTGTACTAATGGAATGGAGGAACCCACAGGGGGTGGCGGGCAGCTGGAGGGGTGCAGGATGTTTGGAAAGAGATGGAGTGGCCAGGTGCCCAACAGTCAAGCACATTTAGACGAGTTCAGTCTCGGGAGGGAGAGGGGCTGAGGTCCCAGAGGTAGGTGCCTCAGTCTCCCAGTTCGAGCTTCTGCAGGAGGTTTCTCTCATGGGGCGTGAGAGTGAGGGTGAAAGGAAAGCTCTGCTGTCACTTCAGCAGGTCTGGGGCTTAGGCTGCAGGAAGGCTGACCTCCAGAGGCGGCAGAGATGCCGGAAATAGGGGGACAAGGCAAGGGCAGAGGGGAGGTCGCCCGCCTGCTGTGGGCTGGGCTTTGGGGAACGACGCGTGGCTCCCACAGGCCAGCAGAGGGCACTGTGGTTGCGGACACGGGGGCTCCGCGAGTGCCGTGTGCGCGTGCGTGAGTGGCGACGGGCGTTGGGAGCGTGAGCAGTCCCAGGATCCCGCCAGGGGGCGCCGCAGGCTTTCTTCCTTTCTGAGGCGTTCCGGGCGGGGGGAGGGGGGCAGTTGGCGGCGGAGGGGAGAGTGAGACTTCCGGCCTGGCTGAGCTGGCCCTGGGGGCTGTGAGTCAGCGGAGGTTGAAATGGTGAGGTCACTCTGGAGAACGGGAGCGAATGACCAGTGTGTGTGTGTGTGTGTGTGTGTGTGTGTGTGTGTGTGTGTGTGTGTGTGTGAAGAGGGGGGTTTTCTGTGGGCCTCATCACAGCGGGCAGAATTGTGCCTCTCGGTAAAGGGTGTGACAGGATGCTGTCTGTCCTCAGGATGGGGTTGACTCTTATTGCTGCAGATCCCCAGGGTTAGCCACACGCAGTCACACATACACGCACACACGTGCACACTGTCGTGTGTACACACTCACACCACATTCACCCACATGGGTGAATTCCTTTTCCGAAGTCAGTAAGACCATGAGGCAGGGAGACAGATCCAGAGACCCAGAGAGACAGAGACAGGTTTAATACAGGGTTGTGTTGGGGGAAGCCGGTGGTCATCCTGCCCAGCTCCTGGGCCTTCCCCACCCTATATCTAAACCCACAACCAGCTGGTGTCTGATATATCAGTGCTGACCCCCTACCACCACATTCCTTCCTCACCCCAGGGCTCACCTGCCCCCCTGCCCCGCTTTCTGCCCAGCCCAGCATGGCTAGGGAGTGGGGGCTGCTTCTTAAGGAGCTACAGAGAAGAGAATGATTCCGGGGCCAGAGTAGACCCTCACTTTACCCCATATTACCCTGGATTGCCCAGACAATGCATTTTTAGGGATTTCAGGGCATTTATCTGGCATTGTGAGTGGTTGAAGACCAAGGTGGGCCTCTGAGGGCACAGCATGAAGAGAAGGTTGGTGGTGGACAGTGTCTGTCCTTGGGTTCTTTTTTATTTTATTTTACTTTATTTTATTTTATTTTATTTTATTTTATTTTATTTTATTTTATTTATTTTGTCCTTGGGATCTTAAGGGAGGTTCCCTGAGAAACACATCCTCACAGAAGTGGAGTTTAGATAGTGTGTTGGATTTCCCAGAGAGACCACGGTGGTGAGTTAGTGATGGACATTGGTTTCCCATCAAGGCTTTCTCGCTGACTCTCCCTCACAGCAGTAGGCACAAGCCTGGGTCCTTCATCTTCTCTGGTTTGTGGATGAGGAGAGCTCCAGAGGTAGACAGAGGGCTGGAAGTAGAATCCTAACCCCTCCCTGACACCTGCTGGGTTGCTTTGGCAGGGCCGGAAACGGAAGCATTCTCCTGGCTTTGTTGGGCTTCCTGGGGAAGAGGGAGCTGGTCCAGGGATGACTAAGCACCCTGCACAGAATCTAAGCCCTGGCCATGTATGTGCGTGTGTGCGTGTGTGTGTCCGTGGCCCATCTTGGCCCTGGGCAAGAAGAATTGGCCTTTCACATAGTGTCTTTGGGGAGATGGATCAGGGGCCACACCTGTGTCTGCCTTTGCCTCCAGGGCACAGCACAGATCTGACAATGTAACTCCCCAGCCAAGCCCCTGGATGCATGGTTAAGCTCTCAGCCTGGTTCCCACATGTCTAAAGTGGGGTCCCCAGGCAGGGTTTCCTGTTCTCTGAGGATGAAGGGGGTCAGGGTATGTATGGAGATAGGAGATTCAGCCTGGGTGACAGTTAGGGACTTGAGCATTGCTGAAGGGCCTGGTGACAGGCCCTTCCAGAGATCCCTCATCTTCCAGGGTCCCCAGCTTCCTCCTAGGCTGCTCTGACCCACACCTACCTCCCCATTCCTCCCCCACACCCTCAACTCCCACAGCACTGCCTTGACCTCACTGGGGCCTTTGTCAGCCTGGAGGCCCTGTCTGTGGGCCTGTCTCTCACTCAGGGAGAGAAAGGGCCCCATTGTCCTGGCTGCCTGCTGTGACACAGCAGCTCCAAAAGACTTCCAAAAATGCTCAGCCTGTCAGACCCCCGTGGGTGGGTGGGTGGGCGGGCTTTCCCCAGGGGCTGCAAGCAGATCTCTGCCTGGATTGGGGACCCAGGTGCTGGCTCTCCCTGCTGTGTAGGAGTTTCTCCATTCCCTAGACTGGAGTCTTTCCTGAGATCTGACTTCCATTCTGCCTGCTGCAACGCAGCCTACTTTCCCCTGAGAAGGGAGAACTGAAAGATGCACGGGCAGAGCAGGAGGAAGGACTTGGGAAAGAGAGGAGAGAAAAGAAAACAGAGGAGAAGAAAGAAGGATGTGAGAAAATTCCCCCCACCGAGGGATTCTAGACTCCAGTTAATTGTCTGTGTAGGTGGATCTTGTGGCTTCTGTGTTTATTCCCCAGTGGTTCTTCCTTAGTGTTTAGATGGCTTGTCAACAGAGAGAAGGCTGTTGACCACTTCGGATTGGAGTATTTAAGGGGGACATCCAACAACCTCCTGGCCCATGTTCTATAGACCCCAAGTGGCTTCTATGGACTCTAGTATCATTGGCAAGGGACATCTCTCAGTGCCTCAGTTTCCCCATCAAAGTGAGCTGAAGTTCTCTCTGACATAATTTCCTGGCAAATGAGGGGAATACAAAAGGAAGGAATTCTGGAGAGACTAAGGGATTTAGGAATTGGGAAAGGGCCAGGGAGGATGGAGGCAAGTAGGTAGAAGTCAGAGGAGAGGTGAAAAGGGGGAGACAGGGAAGGAGAGTTGGGTCCCTGAGTGGCAAGTGTCTGTCCTTAGTGGGGAGGATGGAGTTCAGAGAACCGAGGAGGGGGTCAGAGCCAGCTGGCCATCTCCTCACCCCCAAGTCTCCAGCTCCCCTTTCTGGGGCCCTGGCTTGTAAGCAGCTGATCCCACAGCTGCTGGGAGGGGGTTCCTCGACAGAGGCCTCCTGGCACCTGCCTCAGTTTATTTCTGGAGCCACAGCTGAGTCATGGGGGTGGGGAGAATGAATGGGACTGGGGGGAGAGGAGTTTGTGGCTGGAAGAGAAGGCTGATGGGAAAGAAGAAGGCCCCAGGACCTGGGACTCTGGGACGTGGGGTCCATCCTTTTGGGCAAAAGCATTAAAAGCGGGAGTTGGATTACAGGGTGGACATCTTCATTGGAGCCTCTGGAATAGTGAGGCTTGGGCAAGGGGTTGGAGAGCAGGAGGCAGGCCCATTATTCTTGAATGTCAGAGAAGAGACAAGCCTGGCCTGGGTGTCTGTCGGAATGCTGTGTTCCAAAGACGAGGGAGGGGGAAAGGGGACCCTGGGTTGGAAGGAAGCAGGAAGGGGGTGGGGAATCTCAGAGCCATGAGAGAGGAAATAGAGAGGGCCATGATTTCCTCTGCAGGACCTTACCTGAGACAATTCTGTCCCTCTCCCTGCCCCTGAACCAAGCAGCACCTCCCCTGCTTCTGGCCCTTGAGATTCTCCTATTTCTAAGGTGGCATGTGGCCCCAAGAACGGGGTGCCCAGGTCCTTTCAACATCCATGTGAGCTGCATGCACGAGCAGCTTTCTCTTTTCCCGCCTCCCAGAAGACCCTCAAGTCTAACTTCTACCCATCCTGCTGCAGGACCTGCATGGCCTGGAACTTAGTCCTCTCCTGTCAGAGGGTGGGGGTGTCCAGTAAGGACCAGGGCCTGTTCCCAACCTAGAGTCCTCTAGGGTTTCCTAGGCTTAGGTGGGCTTGGTTTCCATTCCCTCCTCCTTCTATGGGCAGCCCAGAGGGTACATTCCAGCTGAAATTAAATCACATTCCTCCTTCCCTGCCTGACGAGGATGGCATTGCTGACAGCAGCTGTGATACCACAGGGTCAAGTGGCAGCAGCTGGCTCCCCAAGGATGGGCTAAGAAGGGGGGCTGAGGGGAGCTAAGAGGGACTAAGGCCTTTCTTTGGAGGCAATAAATGAACTCTGATTCTTTGATCTCCAGAAGCCAGAGCAAGAGGGGCAGACCCTGCAGTGGGAGGGGTAAAGGTTAGACTATTGGATGTCATAGCTGTGTGGCGCCTCTGGGAATGATCCAGTCCCACCAAGGCCCCGCAGGGGAGCGAGTTTTCCAGCCTCACCTTCTGAGAGGACCCTCTCCCCAGCCCAGGGCTGGGCTCCCACACAGACACACGATGGCAATGGCCGAAGGAGCCCTTTCCTGTCCTAGGCCACACTCAGAGCTCCCTTGGCTGGAGCTCAAAGTCTAGGCCTTTGATTTCCTCTGAGACTCTGGCGGTGGCAGCAGCAGCAAGGGGAACAGCAACAGGCTGGACTGAATGGAGCACTCAGCCCCTGACCTCACCCTCTGAGGCGCCGCAGCCTGTGCAGCCTTATAAGGAAGTGCCCCAAACAAACCGAGGAAGCCACCTCCGGCCCCCCACCCCGCCTCACCCCATTCAGAGGCTATATTTACCCAGAGGAGGCCCCAGAATAACCTCCCACTTGTCCTTGTGCTATGTGTGCCTGTGCCTGTGCATGTGCGTGTAGCGGGTGCTGCCCCTCTTGCTCCCTCCCAATTCCCTCCCCGGGGACTCCACCCTCAGAAGTGTGTTCTATTGTCTGTCACTCATTCATTCATTCATTTGTTCATTTGTTCAGTGCATGTTTATTGAGCACCCATTAGGCACAGGCACTATGCTAGGTTCTAGGTGATGAACAGGACAAAGGCCTTGCTTTCCCAGAACTTTCTAGAGTGACAGGGTATTCTGAGCTGCTGGGTGCCCTGGCTTTCCTCCTACTCTTTGGCCTTCTCCAGCTCCTTTCCAGGATCTCTTCTCTGCTGGGAGCTCCATGGGAGCTCTGTCCTGGGCTCTTTTCATTCTATTAGTATGTGCTCTCCCAGGGGGAATTCCTAGGCCAAACGAACAACCCCCTAATTCTTGTCCCCAACCTACTGACCTGTTCTCTCTCCTGAGTTCCAGGTCCACATGTCCACCCAACTCCAGGGCACCACCTCTTGGAGGTTACAACTTCCTGCTGGAGCCTTCAGCTCAGAAGATGGAACCTCCACTTCCCAGCTGCTCAGGCCAAAAGCCTGGGGACCTCTGCTGGCATATCCCCCGCCACCCCCTGTAGTAGATCACCCAATCCTGTGATTCTGCTTCCTTTACACATCTCCTCCACCCCCACTGTGCCACAGCCCTGCGTTGACCACTGCAGCAGCCTCCCTGGGGCACTCCTGTGGGCTCTGACCCATCTCACAAGGCAGCCCTCCCCTTCCAGTTTGACTCTTACAATGCAAACCTGGTCAACATCACCTCCGCTTAAAACCCTTGGAGACTGCATTTCTCTTAGGAAGAAGGCCATACTTGCTGGCTGTCTTGCAAGGCCTCTGTCCAGGCTCCTGACTCTCTCTTTGGCCTCATTTTGAACTTTCTCCCCCTTCCTTCTCCACCTTCCCTTCCTTCCCTCAACTGCCTGGGCTCTCTCCGCTTGCCTTAGGGCTTTGCACATGCTGTTCCCTCTGACTAGAACCCTTTTCCTCCCCCTTCCCGTCCTTTTCCTCTTCCCACTGGCTGCTCCTGTTCATCCTTCAGATTCTCAGGGCCCCTTTCTCTGAGCACCCCCTCCCATACTTCCCTAGCCCAAGCCAGATGAGGTCCCCTGTTCTATGCTCCTATAACCTAGGGCTTCTCTGTTTTAAAATATGATTTCCACTCAGAAGCCTTTGTTCAATGAGCAGGTAGAGCTTCCTAAGCATGGAGCCATGTTGTTATTTATCTCTGCATTCCCAGATCCTTCACAGTACATGGAACATAGTAGATGCTCAGTAAATGGCTGCTGAAAAGTGATGATCACCAAGGCAGGAGGACCACTTCAGCCCAAGAGTTCGAGACCAGCCTGAGCAACATTGCAAGACCTCCATTTCTACAAAATATTAAAAAATTAGGCGGACATCTGCGGGTGGAGGAAGGAACACCTCTGCCCCCCTTCACTTCTTTTGTCCGGCTGCAGCTCCTTCGGAATGATGGCGCCGTCGCTATGGAAGGGGCTGGTGGGCATTGGCCTCTTTGCCATAGCCCACGCCGCCTTTTCTGCAGCTCAGCATCGTTCTTATATGCGATTAACAGAAAAGGAAGATGAATCACTGCCAATAGATACAGTTCTTCAGACACTTCTGGCCTTTGCAGTTACCTGCTATGGTATAGTTCATATTACAGGGGAGTTTAAAGACATGGATGCCACTTCAGAACTAAAAAATAAGACATTTGATACATTAAGGAATCACCCATCCTTTTATGTATTTAATCATCGTGGTCGAGTACTGTTCCAGCCTTCAGATGCAAGAAATTCTTCAAACCAAGATGCATCGTCCTCTAACACATCATTGAAGTTATGAAAACTTCAATCACTACGTCATTAAGATTTTTACAAATTATAACAGGACAGGACACAGAGCTGGAATATTGGAGTTTGGGGTATAAAACACTCCCCCCATCAGTATTTATACCGATCTTTCAGACCTAATTAAAAAAAAACTATGGCTCTTGTTTATACACTGTTAATCGAATCATTAATGCAGTATAAGTTACCTGTGGAATGAGTCTTTGGCATTTCATATAGAGAATTTTTTTTTCATTTAAAATGAATTTATGTCTTTTGTAAAAGCCACTGTTTTGAATGCATTTTTCTTGGAAAATGTTGGTGGTTTTTGTGATTATTTTCTTAAATTTCTTGTGCACTATAGTTTTGGAATCCTTTTGGAAATACTGTGACTACTGCATTTTGCAGCATGACTTATAGCAAAATGGTCTTCACTTCTCAATATATGGACTTCCCTGATGAGATTAAAATGGTGATTTATTGGTTTTTCTTGTGTCCCCTAGAAAGTGTCTCTGCTTTGGTAGATGCTTGTCAGCTTTTAATTTATCCATGACTTCTCACCTCACCCCACTCCTAAATAAACAACAACAAATAATAAATAAATTAATTAATTAAAAATTAGCTGAGCATGGTGGTGTGAGCCTGTAGTTCCAGGAGGCTGAGGCGGGAGGATCACTTGAGCCCAGGAATCTGAGGTAACAGTGAGCTATGATGACATCACTGCACTCCAGCCTGGGCAACAGAGTAAGTCCCTGTGTCTAAAACCAGATTTAAAAAAAAAAAAAAAAGAGTTAAAAAGAAAAATGACAATCATTCCTGTTACCACCACCAGGAATGTCCCTCTTACTGTCCAACCCTCATTTGTCTGGCAGTGATAGACGATCACTTCCGAAGAGAACCTAGCTCCTGCTACACACCCCCTTTAGGAAAGTCCTCATTTCTAACTTATATCCCTCCCCCTGTTTGGGATTATTGGCAGCAATGGCCTGTTTGGGTAACTTTATAGGGGACCAGAGGCCCTGGGTGGGGAGCAGGATGGGCACCAGTCACAGGGAGGGACTGCTTGGCTCGGCCTCTGTTCTCAGCCCTCATCCAAGTGGGGGTGCCCACGGGCCTAGGGAGACCAAGCACAGGGCACCTCTGTCCCATTAGAGGGGCAGGGCGTGGGCCTTCCTGCTTGGATGCCAATGTGTTAGCCCCAGGCCTGGCAGCCTAGCGGGATCAGATGGGGCCTTGTTAGCAGTGGGTACAGAAAGGACACAGTGGAGGCTTGGGCTGCCAGGAGGGTGGGGTGGGGAGAGACAGGATCCTGGACCCTAAAGAGGTGTGTGTGTGTGTGTGTGTGTGTGTGAAATGGGGTCTGGGTGCCCAAGGTGGAGACTATAGACAGGGAAAGGAAGAGACATGGGCAGACAAGCAGACAGTGAGAATCTGTCCGGGAGGCGCCCTGTACACCCCTCCTTGGTCAGAGGACAGGAGTGGGGCGCAGAGGGGCTGGGACTTCATCCTCTCATCTTTCCCCAGCCCTCAGCCTTGAGCCCAAGGAGAGGAAGAGCCTGCTCCTGGACTTCAGATTGTCTCCAAATACGGAACATTTGTTCGGCAGCTCCTAACCCACTGCCACTTGGGATATTCAGAGGTGTGGCTAGACCTTCCTTCCCTCCAGAGCCGAGCCAAGGAGTGGTTTCTATTTGGGTATCCTAACTTCAAGGCCTTCAGGCATGGTCTGACCCAGGTCCCCCTGGTCCCTTTCCTGCCTTCCACAGGGACCCAGAGAACTCCGGAGCGGTGGCCGGTGGGCCCTCAGGCTCACCTGCTGGCAGCAAAGCCCTGTGGACAACACACCTGTAGCTTTCACCTCACAGCTTCGCCTACCCCCTTCCTTCCACTTTCCTGTCTTCCCTATCTCCTGCTACGGTCTGTGAGGGAAGTCCTACTGAAGATCTAAGCTGTGATCCTCTAGCTTCCCCCAACCTCCCTGCCCTGGAAGGACCCCAAGTCACCTGGCCCAGCCCCTCTCATCGAGTGGCTGAGTCTGAGACTCAGAGAGGATAAATGCTGACCTGAGGCCAGGCTGCTAGACTGAGGCAGAACCAGCCTCTCTCTTCCCTCACCCTGCTCTGACCCAGCCAGTGTGAGCAGACATCACAGGCCAGACAACTGTTTGGGTTTGGGGACAAGGGGGCTTATTATGCTGGCGGCACTGAGGGGCTAGTGGCAAGGACATGCAAGGGTGGGGGCGGCCCGAGGCCTAATCCCTGTAATCAGTGCTGGGGACAGAGATGATGACTGCCCGGCTTCTGCAGATGCTGAGGTCACCCTGGACTGGCCTCCCCCAGTGAAGCAGCAGCCCCCGGCCCTCCCCAGGGCTGAGTCTGTCTGCCTGCATCCCCCGAGAGGGCCTCCCGGGCCCTGCTCTCCTCAGGAAGCAGCCCCTCCCCAGCACTAGCCTCTCCTCCCTCCCCTACTGTCTCCCCACTGTCTGCTCCGGAATGGGGGAAGGAAGAGTCCAGACTTTGTAGGCAGAGGCGTTACTTTATTCAGGCAGGGATGAGGCAGGCAGAGCCATAGCATGGCAGTGATGGGGGGTCAGGGCGTAGGAGCACCCTCACCTGCATTAGCCACGGGCCAGACATCCTGTGAGGGTGGGGCTACTGGGGTGAGACGGAGCAGGGCTAGTAAGCCTGGGAACAAGGACCACCACAGAGAGGGACCCTCCCAGAGAAGTCACTGGGCCCCAGGCCTTTCCCGGCCGATGCAGAGGAAGGGGGCCCAGTGCTACAGCCACTCAGCTCACTTAAGCCTATGAGATGGTGCAGGCGGGAGGCCCCTTTGCAGGGTGTGAGGTTTTTATTCCTAGAGCCTCCATTCTGGAAACTGGTTCCTTTGCCACAACCCATGTCACCTTAGCCAGCCAAGCCTCTCAGAAGAAACCACAGGTCAAGAGATCATAAGTTAAGGGTGCTGCCCTGAGCAGGGAGGGGCTGCGTGAGGCGGGCCTCTTCTCTAGTCTTCCCCTGAGGACCAGGAATCTTGATCTCCTTCCCTCTGGGTGAACTTCAGGAACTGGCCCGGGCCCAGGTGAAGAGGAGCCCCTGCCCAAGGGGTCTTCAGAGCACCCCCCTCCTCCTCCTGTAAGGGGCTCCCTCGGTCCCTCTCTGGAGCCCCCAGTTTCCCCTGCCCTACTCCCTCAGACTGCTCCAGCCCGTTCAGCACCCCCCCATTCATGTGTTCTGACTCCTCCTCCAAGCTGGGGCCCTGGCCATTGACACCACAGGTGTCCCCTGCCCCTGGGCCCATGTCCTCCACCTCACTGGGGGTCTCCAGAAGGCCAGGCTCTTGGTCCTCTGTCTCCAAGGGAACAGGGTCAGACTCTTCCTCTGAGCCAGAAGGCTCAGCGCTGTCCTGGGACTCAGTCCCCTGAGTAGCCACAGAGGCACCAGCCACCACACCCCTCAAGCCATCATCCCAGGGGACACTGACACCCATGGTCTCAGACTCCTGGAGGTTCCCTCTCTGAGAGCTACTCAGGGCCTGGAAGCTGCCAACAGAGGACCCTGGCCCCCACTGCCCAGCCCCTGGCTCCCTCCCCTCCTCTTCCTCGTCTTCCTCTGCCTCCTCCCCACTCTCTTCCTCATCTGCAAACCCATCAGACTCCCCATCCCGATCCCAGGCTGCAGGCTCCAGTACCAGCTGGGGCACCTGGCCCAGAGGTTCTGCCACCTCCCCAGGGACACCAGGAAGAAGAGAGGCCTCAGTCCCCAGGTCCTCGAATTCCTCTGACAGGTCAGAATCATGGCCACACTCCTCCTCCCCATCTTCCTCTTCCTCCTCTTCTGAGGGTTGGCCCCCAAGGCCCCCAGAAGCCAGGACGACAGGATCCCAGCCTTCCTCTCTGGTCTCCCCTTGAGGAGAGGGCCCCTGCTCTCCAGCCGGGTCCCACTGGGAGGAAGTTGGGGACCTGAGGTAGAGGCCCAGGGGAGTGGAGTCGGGAAGGGTTTCCCCAAGCTCATCAGCCTCGCTCTCTTCTTTGCTCTCTTCCTCCTCCTCCTCTTGGAGGCCCTCAGAGATCTCCCCAGAGCCTAACTCCTCCTGCTCCCCCTCCACTTCTCCCAGGGCCTCAGCCCTGCCCTCCAGCCCCCAACTAGCCTCCTGGCTCCCCTCAGCCTGGGGCTGGGGCCCAGGAGCATCTTCCAGGATAGGGGGACCCAGCACTGTTTGTATGTCCCCCTCAGCTTCCTCTGACCCCAGGGGCCTAGGTTGAGTGGCCTCACTCCCATGGTGGCCTGAGATCTCAGCAGGGAATGCCTCCTCTGCTCCCCAGGGGGCCTCAAGCTCTGACTCCTCCCAGCCCTTGGGAGGTTCCAGGGGGTCTCTGCTCTTCCTGGGCAGTTTGGAGAGCTCTGCCTCCAGAGCATCTGCCTCCTCTAGGTCCTTTCCAGGCCCTTCCAAACCCTGAACCCTCTTTGCCTCCAAACTTTCCTCTCCTAGGGGTGGCTCCATCACCTTCCTGGCCAGGTGGCCTGCGTCCTCTGGCCCTAGCACCTCCTGCTCCAGTTCCTGCTCAGCTCCCACAGCAGACTCACCCATGGCTGGCTCTGACCCCAAGGTGACCTCTGGGGAGGCTTGATCACCTCCTGGGACTGCATCCTCATCTTCCAACAGCGGTTCTGTCACCTCTGGCATTCCCTGGGATGCTTGGAGGCCTGGGGCCACCCCTTGCTCTGGTTGCCCTTCAAGGTCCTGCAAGCCCTCAGCACCTCCCTTCCCACTGGCTCCCGCAGCTGGGCCCCTCTGCTCTTTGGCCTCAGGGCTCCCTGTGTGCCCCTCGCCTGGGCTCCAGGCTTCCCCTGTGGCATTCAGCTGTAGCTCTGTCTGCTCTGCTGCCTCCTCCTCTCCAGAGAAGCCATCCTGCACCCTCTGGTCTAGCTCTGCCTCCTCCTCATTTTCCACTCCAGCCCTCCCAGGGGGACTTTCCTGACTCAGTTCTTGATCTCTCACCACCATATCTTCCCACCTCTGCTGATCTGCAGACTGTGGCAGCTCCTGTCCCTCTTCTTCCAGAGACTTCAGTGACTCTTGATTCTCCTCCTTCTCCAGGTTCTCTTCCTCTTGCAGATTCTTTTGACTTTCCTTGTCTACCTCTTCTGGAGATCTCAAATTCTCTAGGTCCTGTGCTCCAAGAGATCTTAGTGGTTCTTGATTCTTCTTCTCTAGGAGTCTCATTGTCTCTTGGTTCTCTTCCACAGACCCCAGTGGTTCTTGAGTATCATTTTCTATAGTTTTCATTGTCCCCTGATTCATTTCTTCTAGAGACCACAGTGGCTCTTGAGTTTCTAGAGATTTCGATATTTCTGGGTTCTCTTCTGCACACTTCTGTGATTCTAGATTCTCTGTTTCTAAATATCTCACTGCCTCTACACTCTCTTCTTCTAGTGACTTTAATAACTCTTGATTCTCTTTTTCAAGAGGTCTAGTTATCTCCTGGTCTTTTCCAAGAGACTTCAGTAGTTCTGGATCCACTTTTTCTGGAGGTCTTAATGTCATCTGATCTTCTTCCTGTAGAGATCTTGGTGA